CCCAATAAAGTAATACAAAGAAACATAGGAGCCCCGAAAAGCCGATGGCATGACGAGGAGTCTGAAAGTATAGTATGAATGGAGATAAGGGATATGCCTATATTCCTGCGAACTAGCCCAAAATCTACGGCCAATATTAAATGGAATATTCAGGTTATCATGAAGGAAAAAACAACACTTTTCACAAGTTTACCCAAGCAACATAAGAAGATGGACAAATAGGACTAATCGGTAGTTTACTCCATAGTGTGTGAGGTCTGTAAAAAGAAATATATTGGCTAAACAGGGAGAAAAATTAGCATATGAATCAAGGAACACCAAAGGCTCTGCAGGAAAATGGAAAGATCACAGAAACAGTTGAACACATTGCACAGACTAGATACGAGATAAATTGGAGAACACAAGGGAACGGAAGATTAAGGAGGCCATTGGGATAATTCCAAAGAAATGTAATGAATAGGAGATTAGAAGATTGCAGAGCATGCAATAACTTTGCTTATTGCTTAAGCAGAATCAGAGAAAACAAGGAAACGACAAGATAAACAAATAGGATTGATGTTGGCATGCTTTCCTTTTCGTTTGAGAAGGCGAGTGAAAGGGATTCTTAATTGGTCTCACCGAATATAGAAGGAGAATTGCCCCGGACTTTTGTCTGTTAAATTGTTCAAAGAAGACCTTGGCTCATTGTCCTACGACTCCGATGACTCTGTGCTGAGCTTTGGTCCGTTTGTGGTGATTGTTAGTGAATAATGGTTTCTGGTTCTGAGGATGTCTGCCAAATAAATAAGGAAAGATCGGCACGGAACCATGGGGGTAGCACGGTAAGCTGAGGTCCTCTTCGAGCAATTCAACAGACAAAAGCCCAAGGTAATCCTCCTTCGGTAACCGGTGAAGCCAACCTAGTCATTCATTTCACATGCCTTCTCAAACGAAATGAAAGGCATGTTGGTATCAATATACTAAAAGATTCTTCGAAATCCAGCTTCTTTTGATTTGAGACGCTCGAATAAAGGACCTATCGTTAACTAGAGGAAAATAGATCACGAGTAGGGAAAGGAAATCAAGCGAAGACGTTCTCAGTGAGTGTGGTCTGCTCGAAGAAAGAACGAAAACTTTGAGGACCTTGGAGTCACATGATCAGGGAGACGGATAATCGCAAACGTGAAGGAAATTCGGCATTACCGCCAAGTTGACTAGTAATCTACTCGAGATGCAGCAATTGACTAAGGATAGACGTACATAGTTTGCTCAGGGTTTACTCAATGAGACGACCCATGAAGACAATCCGAGCTTGGGAGCCCTGTTCGGTGAGGCAACAGTGCAGGTGCTTAAAAAGGCTTGAGAAATAGGGCATGGAGTAAAACGTACACTAGAATTGGAACCGAGTGAAATCGATCAACTAAAAGGATAAGAAACGGAGCTACGGGTTCATGAGGGAGATCCGGTTAGGAGACCCGAGTAAGATCAGCAAATCGAGAAGGTAAGAAGGGGAGCAAGGTAAGCAGCAGGTGTGAAGACGCCCCACTAAACTCGTCAAAAAGAGCACATTTCTGAAGGAGTCGAATATAAGCGAGTCAGAAGTCGTGATAGGGAGGGAGTGATATACGAGGGTACGTAGTAGGAAAATATTCAAGGGGAGAAGAAAGAGTGATGTCACAACCATTAGCAGAAAGTTGATCAAGCGATTGATTTTACTTATCACTTTTACGGGTTGTAGTCTGACACAAAGAATGGCAAGGCTCACTATCGATGTCAACTACGATGACGGCGAAACATCTGGGTGTGTACCAAGTCCACAGTCAGACGCTGGGAATTATGACAACTACAATAACAGAGGACTTCTGACAAGATGCGTCCAACTAAGACGCCTGGACAACACGACCAAGTTGCGAAAACGAGGTCAAACCAGTTTAATATTTATTAGATTAGGCCTAATACAGCCATGCTGGCAATCTTGAGATTAACCATTGCACAATGATGGTTCAGTAGTTCAGCAAGAAACGTGCATTCCGGAGTTCCAAGTAGGCAGCGTTCTGATTATGCTATAGAAAGAGATTGCAAACGGCCGATTAGTCTTACCATGCATACATATATATATATATATGTATATATATATTCAGGAAAAAAATTTGAAAGCGAGTTTTTATCTTGTATAGAGGGCTTTTTGTGATACTAAAGGTAAATTACAATCAATGCCCCGTACCTATAGCGTGACTCATTATCAGTTTCGTCATATCCATCGCGGTTGAATTGGATCTTTCTTAATTGGATGCTTGTCATCTCTCTTTATAATAATAGTGGCAAATTAATTGACTCTGGATGGAACTACGGTAACTAGATGGCTTAACTATTGCAACTCTCTGGTTCGTATTAAGTCCCTTATGCTATCAATGGTATATCAAAGGTTCACATAAAACTCTCAGACAATTCCTTTTCATCAAAACTTTGCTTTAAAACAGTTACAGTAAGATAGTTTAAAAGGCTTTTCCAGGTCCTTTTCATTGACAAATTTCGGATAGACAAAAACTGGCATGACTAATAGGCTTGCTAACTCACGAGGATAATTTCAAGTTGGAAAGAAGTCCCCAAAGGTTAATAAATGCATGTCCTGCAGTGGTGCTTCTGGTTATGATTTCTAGTAAATAACGCAACATTAAACATTCTCTAGCCAAATTGTTGAGAGTTTAAAATATTTAATCTCCAGTCCATCGGCCAATAGATAAGGTAATCAAGACCCTGTTTAGGAAAAAAGAATCCGGAATCCAAGACTTTAGAGGCCAATCTTTAAATGTCATAGATTGATAAGAAATGCTGTGAGTATAATTGGCATTACAAATCGGTATTTAAACAGGATATACTAAAGCGACCTCTGAATTCATGGCTCTAAAAAAACAAAGATATGAAATGAGACTTAAATTAGAGTAGCATTAATGACGAATACTAGCATAACTTCCATTTAGTTTAAAAAGAAAGCTGGAAGGGATCCCTAAATTGGCTACATCAGATACCGAAGAAGGATTGCCTTGGAATCGTGTCGGTAGAATTGTGCGAAGATTTCGGCTCACCGTCCTGCGACCCCAATGACTCCATATTGAGTTTGCTGGCCAGTAATTCCTTGATTTTGGTGTAAAATTGAGTTTAGAAAATAGTGGTCTCCATACGTACTTCTAAGATATGGAAAGAAGCTGGTTTCCATGTTCAGAGGTAGGCATGGATACCAATTTATTCAGAATTCCTCACTACAAAAAGCTAAAGAAACTAATAACTAGGTAAGTTAATTACAATATATTTGTGAATGTATGCTCCTCGCATAGTATTATTCCTGAGTTTTTAAAAATCTTAATAGAACTAATTTGCCTATTAGAACTAAGAGGGCTCTTATGAAAGTAACTCATGATTTTGTTAAGAATAGACTACTTGAAAAAATTTAAGGATGGCATATTTTGATCAGAACAAAAACCAGGCCCAAGCAATCCTGGTCTGATAATCTCAGTTCGAAGGATTTACTGAAGCTACAATCGATGACTGATACATTTTATGAAGTAGAGTTTGGTTGGGTAATGAAGAGTTACGATAAGCAATTT